TTAGCCATAAGAACCGATTATGAATACCGGCTATTTCGCTTTTACAAATTTTAAATATATATCTATTTTATTTTATGTACGAGTATGTACTAACAGATGTCTTATTGGGATTAGAATATTTATTGCCAATTTTACTCTTAACTGTCTTAAATATGCTGTACCTGCTAGGACTCTGAACTATTTTTTAATAAAATATTTTATTTTAAATTTTAAATATATATCTATTTCATTTTATATATGAGTATGTACTAACAGATGTCTTACTAGGGGATTAGAATATTTATTCCCAATTTTACTCTTAACTGTCTTAAATATGCTATACTTGCTAGGACTCTGAACTATTTTTTAATAAAATATTTTATTTCTCAGTATTAATCTTTATATTCCATAAAATAAAACTTTATGATTCAATCGATAGGAAATAAAGATGCATAATGATCGAAGCTGGATTTTTAACGTTTAGATAATTCCATATGAATTTGTATATACTATGCACATACATATATACTGTATTTGTAGTCATTTAAACTGTGCGCCAAATTAATTTTTTTCGAACTTAGAAATGCAGGTAACAGAAAATATTTTACAATTTTAATAAAACATTCATATTTTGTTTTATTTTCTTATAATGCACATACATATGTGTATACATATCTTTCCAATTAATTCCAAGATTATTAATATGATAGCAATGCATAACAAGGATTGCTTGCATCATGCATAGAATGTAAAGATTTTTCTAATATTTGCAAATCTAAAACAAGTTGTGCAAAACTAGGTCTATCGTGTGGAACCATATTCCAACAAGAACACATAATTTTATATATATTGTGAGAAACCGTATTAGGACATGTCAAACGACATTTATCCTGAGTTAAATAACATAATAACTTGTTATCTTGTATACTAGCATATGGAAAAGAACCTAGAGTTCCAATTTCCCAGAGCACAACACCAAATGACCAGACATCACTTTTAGAAGAGAAAGCATGATTACATATAGCTTCTGGTGACATCCAACGTATTGGGAGTTGACGAACTTTGCCAGCCATATTATTTATTACATATATTCCATTTCGTGACAAACCAAAATCAGAAATCTAAATCCATAATAAATCTGTATATACTATTTTTTAAATAATTATTATACAGATGTCTACTACCTTTAGTGTTAGATTTGAAGAAAGGAGGATATTTCTTGCTGCCAAATCTCTATGTATAATTCCTTTAGCTTCCAAATGTTCCATTCCTCTTGCAATATCAAGCGCAAACTTTATAAATTGTTGATTTTCGATTGTATCATACAAATTTTCGTTATCATTTTTGTTTCTTTCAATAATATTTGCATATTTAGATACAGCCTTTTCAACACTGTACAAAAGTTTATCACCTGATTTAATTTTTCTTCTGTCATGTAGATATGCAAGCAAATCTCTACCTTCCATATATTCTAAAAGTATGCATATAGGATTATTAGGTAAAGTACAGCAACCTATAAGGCTTACTAAATGTGTATGAGAACCAGCTGCCTTCATTATTTTAATTTCTTCCAGTAATTGATGTCTGACTTCAGGTTCGTTACATGCATCAGAACATTGTGACATTTTAACAGCTACTAATATGTTCTTATTGTTGTTTAAGCTACCTAGGTATACTTTACCAAACTGTCCCTTTCCTAATTCATGTATAAAATTTATATATTTGTATGGTACTTCAAATTCATCTTTCTGAGCTTTGTAACATGTCTCCTACAAGAAGTTTCTTAAATTAAAATTTTAAATTGATTTTTAATTATTTAATCTTTTTCCATTTACCTCAGATTTTTGTTCAACATATACATCGAGATTACGTCTCTGAAAAACTACATCTGGCCATTGAGCCAGTTTACAAGCAGAAGGATCAGACACTGTTTGTCTCCTATCGTTAAAAATAAAATGTTTGTTATAATAAATATGCAATAATTACTATACACATACATAAATTGTAAAAAATAGTTTCGTAAACTTTTTACTTACCGTTTGAAAGGAAATACAAGTTGATACCCATTTTTATTATGTATTGATATAATGCTAATAAAGCCTAGTATAACACAAATGATAATACCGGCAAGTAATAGCCACTGTAACATAATTATATTATACGAATTTAATATTATACATATACATATTAATTGTTAAGATATGTTTATATATATATACCATAGTACTCCTGTCCAATATTTTAGTTTTGCTTATATCAACAATGGTGAAATCACCTTGAGTTCCTAAACAATTTCGATAATCCATTGCAGCTACCAATATTTTATATCCATTTTTTACTTTTATATATTGATCATCAATTCTCATGTTCCAATTAAAGGTACTTATTGTAGAAGTCACGTTACTTATCTTTGTGATATTATACACAGAATGTCCCGCTTTTGATATCAACAATGGTATGCCAACACTAAAATATTACATAATGCATTATCATTTAAGCAAAATGATATGACAATCAAATTAATATATATAAAGTAAAATAAAAAAATCTCACCTAATTATATAAGAATGAATGTGAGAATTATTCGACGTATTATTCCAATTAATAACTACACTTTCTCTTGCTCGAATTACTTCTACTTTTGGAATAGGCAAAATAGATTTTGCATCCGCACAACTGCATTTATGTCTTATACATTCTGGAACTCTATAAATGACCTATAATATAACGAAAAACATCTTAGAAATTTCATATAATGTAATGTCTTTTTATAATGTTAATTTATAATTTCACCTCTGGTAACTTTCCTATGGGTTTAACTCTCGGATTGGCATATACTTGTATTTTGTACGTACAATTTGGATGTATTTGTATATCCGATATACCATTCAATAATTTATTTTGTGGTACTAATATGCTAAATTGACTTTTATTTTGCACATTGTAGAGCGCGAAACCTTCTGTACATTCTGTCCTATTTATATCAGTTTCTTTTAACATACTTGTAATCATAACACTATAACACATATTGAAATTTGTTATTATTTATATAATCTTTATAGATAATTATTATTGAAAAGCATTAATTAATGCAGTACCTGTACGAAGAAGGTTCTTTTTCTCCATTTGATGGCGTCCAAGATATATTCAATTTCAATGATTTTAATGCATTATCGCTTTTGAAATAACTTTCATCTTCTGAAACGTACACTGTAATATTTTCGACAACGCCAGCAAATTTTGTTATATTTTTTGCATTTGTTGCGCATATTGCATCAGAATATAAAAGCCATACAATAATTATATCATATATTAAAATATATTTACACTGTATAAACATCTCATTTTATAGTGTATGTCTATTTTCTAAATAATTTAAATATGTTACATTTTTACACTATTTTATATTTTTGTTACAATGCATTGAGCAACAAGATGTCTACTTCAATCAATAATACTGTGCTTTATTTCAACTTCAAAGTTCGAATAGGATTTATCTTTAGCAAAACATATATCTGGTAACTCTTATCTGATAATCGAAGTGCTTAAGAACCTTACGATTTCCTATAATAAAATGATAAATGATCTTTTCATTGTAAAAATAATACATATTATTTAATGAGATAATAATTGAAAAATCATAAAAATTATTAGGAATATACAGTTATTAATTCCGTAAACTACATAATGATTACAATTAATGAAAGATTTATTTTTTTATCAACAATAAAAATTAATACATGTATATATATATATATTTTTTTTTTTTATCGTAAATTATACTTAACGCACGTATGCGTGCACGCACGCACGCACACGCACACAAATCTTCAACACTTTCTTATTTACTATTTCAGAAGTTACACAAATGGCCTCGGCTGCAATGTCACCAACTGACGATGACGAGCTTACTCTTCCTCGGGCATCAATTAACAAAATAATCAAGGAAATATTACCTCATGTGCGAGTGGCAAATGAATCCAGAGAACTTATTTTAAACTGCTGTACAGAATTCATTCATTTGTTGTCTTCCGAAGCAAATGAAATTTGTAATCAACAACAAAAAAAAACTATAAATGCGGAACATGTTTTACAAGCTCTTGATAAATTGGGCTTTGGTGATTATAACGCAGAAGCAGAGGCTGTATTACGGGATTGCAAAGCTGTAGCGGCTAAAAGAAGACGTCAAAGTACCAGATTAGAAAATTTGGGCATTCCAGAAGAAGAATTATTACGTCAACAACAGGAGTTATTTGCTAAAGCAAGAGAGGAACAAGCAGTCGCGGAACAGCAACAGTGGCAACAATTACAAGCTGTTACACAAATGGCATCCATGCAACAAGGTGACAGCGAACAAGAAGATTATTCATAAAGAAATTCAAATGGTGAAGTTCGTTTGTAAAATCAATTTGTTTTTTATGTAAAAAAGTATTTATAATATTTAACATAAAATAGAAAGAAGGAGGGGGGGAGGGAGGGAGGGAGGGACTATTATTTTTGAAAATCGTTTTTAATAATTTAATTCTACAGCATATTTTACAATAGTGTATACTAAATACTTTTACATTTCTTAATTTAAAATTATAATATATAAAAATGATAAATAAAGTAGATTAATTATATATTTCATTTATTTTTATATCCTTTCATATAAACTTTTAGATTTAAGGCATTAATCTTCCATATTCAGAAGACAGATGGCTTTTCTTTATAACTTCTATGACTTTTGAAACGTAATGATACCTATCGATAATATTTGCATTATTTTATTGCACGTATAAAATAGACACATTTCTTGTATTTTCTTTTTGGAATAAAATTGTATATTCTTGTCATTTTTTACTTTCTCTAAAGATTTTATTTATGTTATATTGATTTAATAATCAAATCATTAGAATACAAATAGGAATCGAAAGTAAGATAAAAAATAAATAAAATAATTCAATATCCGATTAAAATAAAAAATATATGTCTTAAAATATTATCTAATTACCAATTTTTTTCTGTTAACACAGAAGGTGTAATTGAATTCCTAGGAACTCCATATATCTTTGTTCGCAGTTTATCTATAAGAAATTCTTCATTTTCACAAAAAATCATATCTTCTGCAAAAAATACGAATGCAATTAAATACATTAAATGTTAATATATAATTTTCCATAAACGATCTAAAATAATCTTTTTTTTTACCTTGTTTATTTCTCGAAGGTATCAAAAATAAATTTAAACCACTTTCTGTCGAACAATGATTCATATCTATACCGCTATGAGTTTGCAATCGAGAACTAGAAAATACTTTATTATAAAAATCCTGAAAAAAAGTAAAAATATAATTTGAAAAATAGTACTCAAATATAAACAAGTTTCTATATTATGGTATATTTATGAGACTACAATTTTTTTATTCTTAATTTTCTTTTCAGTATTAATTTACATTTTAGTAGCTTGTATAAAATAAAAACGCTGTTTAAAATAAAATGCTACATGCAATTAATTGCAATGCAATTTAGAAAAGCTAGAAGACAGAATTATTTTCGTACTGCAATTGAAATCAGACGATAGAAAAAATAACATAGAAACAAATTAAATTTATAGAAATTTAGATAATTAAAAATAAGATCATGGAAAAGATAAAACTAAAAATATAATCAAGGCCAATATTCATGATCGATTTTTATATTTAAGAATTAAGATCGTCTTAAGTACAGTCTTAAGATGTCATGAACCAATCAAAGGACTATATTAGCATCTTAAGACATTACTTAAGACGATCTTAAAATAATGGACTATAAATATTGGCATGTCTAAGGTCGGTATTCTCTCATAATCCATTCTTATTTTAAGATGGTCTTAAGCAATATCTTAAAATGTTAATACGGCTCTATGATTGATTTATTTTATTACATCTTAAAGCTACTTAAGGTTTTGAATAGTCACTGTGGCTATATTGGACCGTGATATTATAAGCGAGAAATGACACGTTGAAGTTTCTTGTATGCCATTTGTATACTTAAACAAAAAGAATTTGGATAAAATAATTAGATCGCTTTAAAATACTTGTAAAAATGGACCAAAGTTACCTTTATGCTCCTCCTTTGACAGTTAGTAAATAGTAAAGCACACGTTTAAAGTGAAAATGCTTGTATGTGTAAGTAAACATTAGTAAATGCACTTCACGTGCTCTTTACGACTATTTATTGACTGTCAAGCTAACTTTTCATGCGTAGCACGCTGTAGCAGTAAAATGTCAGGTAATTCAAATTTTCGAAAATTGATTGGAAGTGTGTCACCCACAGACTTCTAATAATAGAAGTGTGGTGTCACCTCATAAAAAGTTTTTAACCAATAATAGCATTTTGTTGCCGCAGCGTGCTGCGTATGAAAAGTCAGATTTGGGGGGGGGATAGCTTCGGTCTGTTTTTACAACTGTTTTAAAATGATCTCATTTTGTTTTATCCAAATTCTCTTTATTTATGGGAATGGCTATTTGACAAGTTCAGCTTGTCAAATAGGATAGTATCGATCTAGGGAAAATGATCGCGAAAGTGTACATTTCGTTTATAATCAGTGAATGGAGACATAGAAAATAATTTGGTGATCTTGTGGATTGAAATTATTATTGAAAAATAAATATGGATTATAGTAAATTGAAAGTTGCTAAATTTAAGGAAGAATTAAAGAAAAGGGAGCGCCTTTGAGGGGAAAAAAAGGCCGAACTTATGGAAAGGCATTGAAGTGTCTGGATTTTTAGACTAAAGGTGCGTTCCGTATCGCGCATGATGTGCATGATGCATCCATTGTCCTTGTTTAACATTTGGTGAGCAACAAAGATAAACGATGCATTATACGCGAGAAACGGAACGCACCCAAGTGTCGGTATAATGTCCCGTTTGTCAATTAAGCTATCATGTGATTTTAAAAGGTTACAAAAAAGAATCATTGTGTCGATATCGAGACAGTTATTTACACTTTTTAATTTGCTGTGGACTTTAATACACTACTCTAACAGATTGGCTACGTTCAGCAGAGAAAATTAATCAGTTAGCGCTTAGTGATTTTTTTCTTTTTACTGAACACAACTATTAATTGTTGTTTTTGAACAATTTATGGTTAAGACGTAAATCACATTAAGAAATAATAACAAAAATGCTGTTTCTCACTATATATCCAGTAATCTTAATACAAATCATCTGAATCAAAGCCAGCGGTAGCATAATCCTCGAGTTTAAAATGGTCTGTCCACACACGCGATTCAGCACTCGGGCGGAAAACTTTACGTTTTATTGCTGCTATTCACTGTTTTTTCTTCTCATCTTTCGGGAACCGATGCTTTCCCCTATTTTTGCATCTATATGCTACACACATGCCTGGTATGTTAAATAAAAATATTTGTCTTTAGTTTCATAAACAGATGCAATTTGACATGTCTCCAAGCACACTAGCGCCTCTTATCGGCTAAGTGGCAGTCATCATCCCCATAAATGACATGAAAAAAATAGACACTTTAACGTGTCATTTTTAATCGCTTATGATCCAATAATAGTCACAGCGACTATTTAGGAATCTTAAGACAGGAGTCTTAAATATAAGAATTGACTATGAATGTTTCGTTATAGAAGATAAGACATATTTTGAAATAGATAACCAGGATTGGGTAAGTTAATTTTTTCTTTTAACTAAGTTAAGTTAAAGTTAACAACCTTGAAAATTTAACTTAGTTAAGATACAAGTTAATGTATAACGAAATTAATTGAATTAAAAGTTAAGTTAATAAAAAAAAAGTAATTGAAAAATTAAAAGTTAAATTTCTTTCTATTCTACGATTTCAGAGTCTTACAAATATAACAAACATATACTTCATTTAGAATATACTCTATATTTTATTTAAACTTTTTGTTTATATATACTGTTATATATATAGATTTCAACCTATCAAAAACTAGATACATTAAAATATACGGTTTTTGCTAGATTGAAATCAATATATAATGTAAATAATATATACAAAC